AACGAACGTGACTGAAACTTGAGCCACGGCAAGATTACCAAGATCTAATCTCGTTCCATAGTTGGAAAAATTTGCAAGGTGTGTGAGAAAGAATAAAAGTTTAAAAGGAAAGAGAAAGAGAGACAAGATTCCCTCTCGGTCTCGATTTTTAACTCGCCAAGGATTTTTTACTTCTCATCGACGGCGAGGGGGCAAGGTGTAACGGTGGTGGGTCGAATGTTTGCACGGTGGGATGCGGGAAAGTACGGGTTTAACTTACGGGCCAAACTTGGAATAACACGGCCTCGTCGGCTGTTCTACGATATCGCTGAAACGGGAAATGCGGAACGAACGATGCGGCGATATAGGTAAATTTGAAGGATCGTTTGAATCTCGGTGAAAATTGAAAATTGTTGAGGCGGAGGGGGTAAAGTTTGCAAAGACGATGGCCACGTGTAGAGAGTGTAGTGTCACTTTCTCGATTATGTGCTTTTGCACGAGTTTATTAAATCCTCTCTTCTTTTGTGTGTAATTTTTTTTTTTTTTTGAAAACGAAAGTATTTCTTCTGATTTTTTTCGAGCCAATTTCTCGATACAATTAAAATTCGTTACAAAGTTGTATTCTAATACGATCGAGAGGAAAATGCACGTGCTAATTTACACTATTTCCAGAATTTCGAAAAATTCTTAGATTTAAAAAGTTCAAAGAAAGTTACAAAATTCTGATTTCGAAAGAGTTTTAAGGTTCAGAAGCAGCATTGTCACTCGTGCACCATCCGTTCAAATGTCTCAACATTAATTTAAGAATTTCGATTATTACTTTCTATTTTTTTTACATCGAACAATCGCGTCTTCTTTACAACGATCAAACTCGTCGAACTTCGAAAAATAACTCGAAAGACATATCGAAACAAAATTCCAACACATAAAACGAAAAAAAGAAAAAAAAATATCAAAAAGATTAAATTGCAGGAGCGACGATAAAAATAATAAATCGGGGCTGATTACAGGAGAAGGGAGTATCAAAGTTACGGGAAGCAGATAAAAATTTCATAAGGAGGAAGGGAGAAAAATGAGAGAGAAGAGAAGGAAGGAGAATCTACGCTCTAGGATTCCCCCTGCCAGGGAACCGAACAATGAGGATGATGCGGTAAGCTCCCGTTTTTAAGCGGTCGTTACTTGTGTATTACGATAATGCGATCCCGTTCGAAGGCCAACTGGCTGCAGACAGGAAGCGTGGCATCCCTTGGAAAAAAATTTACAGCTCCGTACGAAAGGCGGTTGGCGTGCGTCTGTGGATGAAACAACTTTTTCTGGCCAACGTTGCACAGGAAGCGAACCGATCCAGGATGAGCGAATCCTTTTCTCGTTTTAATATACATATAATTTTTTTATATAAGTCGTTCCACTAATAGATTCTTAATATGATCTTATAAAGTGTAAAGATAATATACCAAATGGCTAAATTTTCTTTATCTCAAATTAGACCATGGATCCAAGTTTAACAGTCGTGAGAATAGAAATACTATTTTCGAAGTTTTTCAGTTTCGTAAGCATGGAATAATGAAACTATTTTAGCGAAGATGAATTTGATTTTTCGTTATTGAGTAACGAAATTATATCCGTCCATTAAGAAAGTAGACACGTAATAAGAGAAGGTGAAAAATAAGAATGATAATAGACAGTGAATGTGAGAGCAGGTTATTGGGTGTATAAGATTTGCTCTTGAAACGAATAAAACGAATAACCTAACCTAACTTAATCTTCGATATTTCGATCCTCTGCTCTCACGAATAAACAAGATATCGCGGGAAAAATAAGAGGCCACCTACGAATCATCCATCCCTCGTTGTAATTTGTTAAAACGTCCCATCTCGTTCGAAACACGCTTATTTCCCTGTTTCTCGATTCCTAGCTCCCTGCTTTACCGATAATGGCCGAGAGGTCGCGCGAGACGCGGCACGTGGTAAATCATAACCTCGACCGAACCAATTTATCGCGTCGAGCCGGCACAAAAACAAAGGTAGTCGTTGTGTACACAACGTCGAGACAAGTGGAGCTGCGGCTTCCATCCATTCCGATTATTATTTCACCGGTTCCCCTACCACGAGCGTGGACTAGGATTCTGGCTATTAGTTTCCATCCGTTAACTGGCTTAATTGTATAACGGCGTAACAAGGCCCCCGCGGGCAACCGCAAAAGTGTTAATAGTTGCGAGCAATTTACGCGTGTGTCGATTTAAACGCACAAAGGGAGCGAAATGGAAACCAGTTCCAAGAGCTGCTGTTCGAGAGAGACGACAAGGTAATAGATGTACGGTGAAAATTTTATTATTACAATTTTAACTCGAATAGTGATGACGTTACATGATTAGATAACTGTTTGATAAGTAGAATTAAAGTATATACTTTTGGGTGATCAAAAAATCAAGATAGACGGTGATATAAAATTGGGTGATCAAAAGATAAAGTATTGAAATTTCCTTCCCCTTCTTTTCTACGATGTAATAATCGTAACTTTCGACCGATTCAAGTCGATTCGTGGCGCCATCTGAAAGAGCGTCCTTTCGTTTTTAAGAAGAGTCGCGACGAGCGTTCTAAAAGTTTCCAGTCTTGTGCAACGATTTTTAGCAATATGGCGTGCGAGAAATATCATTCGCGTCATCGCTTACTTTTTACGATTTAACTTGTGAAATCAGCTAACGAAATGGTTCGTGCGTCACTAGAAGAGAACGGTGTATCTTACGGAAAAGTGGGAAAAGTGGTAGCGAAGATTTAAAGCCGGAAATTTTAATTTGGAAGACGACGATCGTTCAGGCGCATCGAGAAAGTTCGATGACGGTGAGTTAGAGAATGTGTATTTTGGCTAATCTTGTACCTGGTTTATAAAATCTTGAATTTAGAAAAAAAAAAGGTGGGGAAAGAACTTATTTGCACATTTAACAATTAATTTAAGTATTTATGAATCTTTATATTCAATTTCTGTACAAAATCTCTTGTCCTAAAATTATTAAACAATATTGTAATATTGTATCGAATAATTATCGAGGGATAAACGTCTCTTGGAAGCGTTACTTAACGAACGCGATATTTTGATCGGCCGTAAAACGGTGCTGCCAGGAAACGGGCGTATTCGAAATACGTCCTGCATGGAGGAGGAAAGTTATGTATGAATTTGCGGGTCTCACCCTTCGCGTTTGAGGTTACAATAGACTGGGAACCGGCATCGATAGTTATCACGTGCCAGAGTCGTCGACCGGGAAGAGCTTGTTTTCCACCGATATGACTCTCTCTCGTTTGCGCGTTAAACGAACCACACGCGCGCGGTTTCCAATTTTTCCTTCTCTCTTTCCCTCTCTCTCGCGTCACTCGTTTTCCCAGTCGATGGAATTGCAAACGCACGCGTAAAAAGTGGCTGATGAGCAACCGGTGAACCGGAACGATCGAACTCTGTCAGGTCTTTGCGCCTATTCGTGGTGGCTGCACCACCGAAACAAATTCCATTACACAATGATTCCCGGTAATTTACGCTAATTTCTCTCCTCTCCTCTCCTTCTCTTCCCTATTTTCTCTCGTTTTTCGAGTTCGAGCAATTTTCATTCGTCAGAAATTTCTCCATGTTTTTTCCCCCCTCCTCCGCCATCGAGATTGAATCGAGATAGGTTTGCATCGATAATTAAAGATTTTAATTATACCAGAATTTCTCTCTCTCTCTCTTTCTCCCTCTCTATCGGTCCATTGATACGTGATGCCTCGTGTCGGATGGGACAGATACCGTATAACACGGGTGTGCCGTCGTCGCGACGGTGAATGAGACTGAATGGCAGACGCGAGGTTGGCGCCGCTCGATCAACCCGATAATTAGCCGGTGACGTCTGAAAGGAAGGGAAGATGAAGAGGAATAGATAGCAATATGGAATATAGAGAGAGAGATATGTAGGTGACGATGATTAGATCTCGTTTTTTCTTCTTTTGCGGATTTTTAATTTCTTATCTCGTATTGTTTTGGAGATATTTTAGGATAGGAGCATCATAATTCAAAACTTCGATAATATTTGAACATATGTTTTATTTGTGTGAATGATTGTAATCGAAGCGAACTGAAGATAAGTAGATGGTATGTAATTTCGAAGCGTTTAACTTTTTAACAGTTATTGAAATATCTGCAATGAAATATCGTGGAGAAAATATATCATTTGTAAAATTGTTGCCTCGAAAAAAATTGATATTATAATTGATACTCGCCGAGTTATTTCACGACATTTAAACGAGATTTTAGTAGGAAGGAGTATTCGAAAATCTCGATTAATGGCGGAACGTGTAAAATTTCCTTAAAAGGTAATTCGAAGAATTTCGCTCCCGGAATGAGAGGAATGTCTCCGCGTAACTTCGGTCGGTTGAATTCAATTTTATTTACCATGGCGTTTAATATCCGACCGAGAAGATCGATACAGCTTAACCGGTTCACTGTTAGGGAAAAGGAAATTCGAGACGATCTACGAGCATGTATCCCGGCCGAGAGAACCTTACTTAACGGCAGAATTTATTTTTATGAGGGTTCATCTTGTTACCCTCGCAATCCGGACATCGTAAATTCCTCGCGAAAGCTATGCCTCGTGACAGATTAACTACGTACAAAAAAAAAAACGTATTTGAAATAGAAAGGCTCGATTCAATTTTCTTACTTCAGATTTAACTTTGAGTTAAAATGTTTTGAAAATTTTTCACACTTGTCTCTATAGATCTTTATTGTCATCGAAATCGAAAGAAAAGAATATCAACGTACGAACAGGTACTAATTTAAATGTGAAGCGGATCTTCAACCGACTATTCGGCGAAAGTTAGCGAAAATAGGCGAAAAAGGCCGAGCACCATGATCGGCCAACATCGGCTAAGATCGGCGAAGATCGACTCCGTATGATCGCAGTAGACTCGACGAGAGTTGGCGAGTACGGATAGATACGTCGAAACGCGATGTTCGATCATTGCAATCAAACATTGCAATTGAATTGGACATTAAAAAAGTAAAAGTTACTTATAAATTAATAACTTATTAAAATATTTAAATAACATATACGTATCTCATATAATCTCGTCCGTTTGACATTATAATTATTTGCAATTATTATTACACCTCGAACAATAAATTATTGAAATAACTTATAGAAGCAATTTTATTCGTAATTTCAACTACTAAATTTTGCATGGCATTGTATCAAGTTCCGGGATGGGATATAGAAAAAAAGAATTCGAAAAAGAATCCTGAAAATACGTTACAATATTCTCATCGAAACCGATATTATCACGACGAGAGCCGTAACAATTTCCATAAAACGAAATTCGTCTCGTCAAATTTCAAATCGTAGAAGCGGAATTTTTCATTCGCGGATTGTTTACGAAATTCACCGCGAACAATGCACCCCGCTGTTTGCCAGAATTTTTTCAACCATGCCGCCTCCTCATTCGAACAGAGACCAGGTAAGGTGGGTAAGGCTTTTGTTATACCCATGATTTTTCGAGGTATCCCCGACAATGGGAGGGAAGTCGGGCTTCGCGCGCGAGAATCTTTCAGAATCTTTCAGCGGCCAGGAAAATCGTTCGTTCTCGACCACCGCCCTCCCCGCTGGAAAGGGTGGTACGTAAGAGAAGAAAACCCTTCTCACCCCCTTGTCAGCCCCGTACGTGTGCCCTTCGGGAGTGGAAGCGTGTTAACCTTCATTCTTCGTGGATTAGTGACACGTGGCTACGCGCATTCGAATCCCTGACGCGAGACAATGATGATCCCCGTGAAAACAAGAAAGATTTCTTGATCCCATTGTTCGAATATTAGGACCGTTTTCACCGGTAGTGTGCAACCAACGTGGCGCGTACCATGCATATGTACGTCCTTCCTCTTCCACTTCGTTGGCTTTCTTTCTCTTCCGTCTTCTCGACGTAGAGTGGAACCGAGGAGGGAGGGGAGCGGCTTTTAGTTTTTGGAACGATGAACTTGCTCGTCGAAAAGTTGCTCGCCGCTTGAAACGACTTGCCAAAACTGTGTTAAACACGCTCGCACGTTGAAGTATCGTTATTTCAATCGCGGCAAGTTTTAATTGTCTTTTTTTTTTTTTTCTTTTGGTATCGAGCAATTTATCGCGTATCCTTTATAAATCGAAGAGGTGAGATTTTTACAACAACAAGTTTCTTCGATCGTTCGAAAAAAAGGAAAAGACACGGAGCTCACTCTCCCGTAAGATTCTTAATTCCGTTTGAACGCGATGCTATCCGTCAAGGCCATTGTTGTTCTCGCGCCAGATGTCTCTGGATTCGGCCGTTATTCTTTCGCTGTAATTCACGGTACCCACACCATCGTGGCTCGGACGGACAGGTAATTAATGTTACGAGACGGACGAGATATATCGTAAGATATAACTTCGATGCAAGAAAGTTATACACACAAGTTTAATGACGGAATCATCGCGTGGAACTTCGAACTATCAAGAGTATGCGGGATATCGAACGGATAGATGAATTTTTCATTCGCGGCGTATATGTCGAGAAACAAAAAAAGAACGATAAAAAGTTTTATTGGAAGACGATGAAGAAAGGGAAAAGAGCTCGTAACTGAAAAAAAGAAATTGTTGACAGGACAGTGATTGCAATATTTATTTTTTAGTGTGTGAAAGAAAACTGATAGCAACTTAAACGTGAAATCGTGATAATATTTTTCCAACAATTTTCAAGAGACTTATCGATTATTTATTACCTCGTTCGTTAAAATAGATTTTCATTTCATAGAATTTTAGTTGTACCACTCGATGTATTAATCGAATTGAATTATTTCGTAAAAAATAGTTGGCAAAATGTTTGAAAGAGACTTATCTCAACAGACTCGATCGCAAGCTTAATAAATGTAACAAAAGGTCGAAATATGGGGAAACGATGAGACGTGGCCATACGCGAATTCTCTGAGACGAGATTTAAATGGAATCGTGCGGCTGACAGCGACCTCGTGTCTCGTCCTCTACGAATGTTAAACTGGAACAAATGCGGTTTCACGAATTTCTGAATCGAGGCAGTAACCAAGGATTCCAGGGGAAAATATTAATAACTTGGCGTATAAAGACGGGTACGAAACGAGGCTATCGCATTAATCACAGAGAAGAGATGTGAACGTGTCAAGTATTAAACGAGTATAAATTGTAACAGGTGCAACGATGAACGAGTTTAATATTTTTTTTTTTCGAATGAAAAATCGTTTAATTAATCGTTCGATGTTTTTTCTAATAATAATAATAATAATAATAAAAAAGAAAATGTCAGTACCAAACTTGTTAATAATTTTTTTCCATAAACGGAGACTTGATAAATTAGAGGAGTAATTAAAACATTATATCATAACATTATAATTTTTTTATTGGAATAAAATCCAACGTTTAAAGAGTCTGTTATTGTAATTTGATAAATGAAAGAGAAAAAATCCTCTTGAACTATTATCAAATAGTTTTCTTTTTTTTTTTATTAAAGCTCAGCGTAATAATATCGCGCAGCAGAGATAATTAGTCGAGAAAATTAAGTGGAGAAAAAGACGGAAAGAAAAAGAAACGCGATCAAATATCCCCAAGAATGAAAGCACACTTTCGTTTTGCGCAAATCTCTGAACCGAAAATCTGTCCGAGGAAAAGAATTTTGGAACTTGAAGGAAAATGTTTAAAATCAAACGTATTGTCAATGTTGGATAACTAATTTTTATTTTTGTGTCATTAATCCCTTTAAATATGTTTTAAAACATACAAAATATATTTTCTAAGAAACCATTACCAAATATTTGATTGTCGTCAGAAATACGACAAATCGTAAAATGAGGTGACAAATTTGAACTCTCACTTAATTACAACATTCGCACGAATCTCTTTATAATTTAAAAACCTATTCGATATTTCTGTTCTGAACGCTGTTTAAATACAATTTAATAAGCATAAGAAGCGAGAGAGAGAGAGAGAGAGAGAGAGAGAG